GTGTGTCAACCCTGACACAATGAGCTTTATAATGTAGAATATTGTTGGTTAAATAAATTAAACAACAAGACATTACAAGCCAATGACCACAAATTATAGACTCCAACAATATTTGGAAGTGACAACATTGCCTGCTATTGTTTATATTGCCATCGATTAACCAACAGTAGTTTGAAGTAGAATGTAGTAAGTAGAAATCACATACACTATGATATTAAAGAGGCTAAATGAGTCAAATAAAATGAACTCATGATTTGTTGTTCAGATAGCATTTATCTGCTTGGTAACCGGTCTTCTGCAGAGTATGATAGTTTCTTAAAACTCATGGAAGTTAATAAATATATACACTTGTGTCTTATCTTGAAAATACTTTTTAAACATCAACACTAATGTTTTGTGCATACTAGGAAGATGGAAAATGCCATAGATCTGTTTTATAAGTTTACATGGGTTATTCAACACGGGACAGATTCCCATATCACATTAAAAACCCATCCTTTGGTTTTACTGCTGACCCTTTTAGGAAGCGGCCTGAAAATAGGGCGAATTATCAATGAAGGGGGCAATAGAATATCCAATATTTTTGTCTTATAGGTCAGTGCATCACTCATTAAAAGTAAATGTTATTAGCAAAGAGAGAGAAATATAAAGAGGAAAACCCCCCAAGTAATTAGAGATCATTAAGTGAATGGCCAAACTGTCATTAGAAGGCTTGCAAAAGCTTTTTCCCTTAAGGTCACAAATGTGAAAACTAGACAACTTGTAACTATTGGGTAATCTTTTCAGACATATTTCCTTACCTAAACAGAACGATCACAGATTGGCTAACCTAAGGAACTATCTGCCACTTTGCTGAGGGAAGGGAGGACAAAGAAAACTGTGAACCATGAGATTTAAAATTTTAGTCTCAGTTCCAAATTACCCAATTGCCATTCACTTCAAAGATATTTAAACAGAGAAACAGAATGTCCAAGGGCAGGCAAAAAAAAGCATTGGCAGCAGGAGTGACTTCTGACTTCCTGCTGGCTTCCCCATTGATTTTCCTAGTGAAAATCTGGCAGGAAACACTGAAAATCTTCCTTTCCTTTCCTTTCCTTTCCTTTCCTTTCCTTTCCTTTCCTTTCCTTTCCTT